AAAAAAACTTAGCTTCAGGTTAGGAATGCCTTCAGGCCTCTCTTTTTATGGCCTTTTTAGAACGCTTTTATAATAAAAAGCCGTATGGCTGTCAGGAAATCATTTCATTTATGGATTCTTAAGTTGGTAAATTAATAACAGCGTTTCGGTAATTAGTAATTTATAAATAAAACATGCTAATTTATTTATAAAATAAAGCACTGCTTAACGGCATGTTTTGGGGGGCTAACAACGTCAGCCAGAGAATTGGCTAAAAGAGTTAAAAGAACGTAATTCACAGCTGATCGAAATGAGTTGCCATAAAAGAGGTTAAGTGACTTGCTATTTGGGCACAACAAAAAGCTGTGAAGTTAGCCTCCAACACATAGCTGTATATATTCAATATACTATATCATTGCATGTGTGGAGATAATGTCTCAATCACAAGTTAAATGAATGACAACGTCTGCTTAATATTTGCTTATCAAATTATCATCAAAACATGCGATAAAAATGCCAAAACTTTCCTGAAATTTAATTTTGTTTGCATTAAAAATAGTGAGGAACACATGGGCAAGTTTATTAATATTTTATTCACCTAATAAGTTGAACAATAGGCTGATTGAATTAATATTTTCTGACTGAGTCATTTGAGAAAATGTATAGCTGTCGATAAGGAGCGACTTATAAATAGCAATACAAGTATAAACTGAACAACAAAATGCTGTTTCCTTTTTATGATACGCATATTAGGTTACAATTTGATTAATGTACATGCACAATATTGACTTATTTCCTTCATGAAAACTTGAACCTGATAGCACTCGAATGGCGAAACTCTCGAGCCGTCTTCCATTAAGCTTCAGAATCAGTAGCGAAAGATCGGTACAAGTTTGCGGTTGTGGCATTTCATAAACAATTAGTCTAACACCACCATTTAAGTAAGTCTTTCAATAAAGTGAAACTCTAGAATTAAATCCTTCCATTCCAAGCTTTGTATCCTATCCCAAGGTATTTTCAAAAAGAACTCCTTTGAAGTAAATCAGTTCTTGAAGTCTCTTCCAAAAACTATTAAAAAGCAATTAAATTGAACAATTATTTTCAAATTACGACAATATTAAACATAACTTGTTAACTATGTTTTACCAACTAGACAATATTTCCAATTCAAACGGGCCTACAATATTTTCGAAGACCAATAATTCAAAAAAAATTCAAAAATCAATAATATTAGTGCTAGCTCAGGTCAATTATTTTGATATTGGGTTGATATTTTCCAGCTGAAATATTAAATTTCATAAACAAACAAAATTAAATATTAACGATCTATTTTGTTTTTCGATCTACTTTCCAGCTTTTAAGTTAAAAGAGTTATATAGAATCCCTATTTTAAATCTAAATACCAGAAAAGCCAGTCAGCTTTCCATAGTCTAATTGTTAATATAAAAATTGACAAAGAAACTCATAAGAAAGGCAATCAATTAGTAAATTAATTTGATGCTTTATTCTGCCTTCCATTTTTAGCCATAGGAACTAATTTTATTCGCAACGGAACTTTAAGAAGTCAAAGATTCAATCGACCAAACAATAAGAATATTTAAAGAAGAAGAATATTTATAGAATATCATGCCACAATGGCAATCATAAAGACACAAGCATCGCGCGAGCAGAAACTCGACTGCGCCCTACGAAGAGGACATCCACTAAAGCCGGATCCATGGGTCTTGCTCTTCATGATCGGGGCGATTCTAACGATGGGCCAAGTCCAGGGTAGTATCGAGATCAAGCGCTTGGAGGACTCGCAGGGGTATATTGTGTTGCAGCGTGGAAAGATCGAAATAGTAACGGAGACTGAAATAGCTTTGCATATTGTAAATACAACAGACATTGTGGAAACGCTGGGGATACTAACTGAAAACATAAAGCATTTGAAGGGTCCAGATGTGGAATTGCTTGAGAAAAAACTAGGGAGTTAAAAAGTAAATTGCAGACAATTGTAGATGTCAGAAGTAGAAAAAAACGAGGACTCATCGACATTGTAGGTCATACTGAAAAATTTCTGTTTGGCACCATGGACAGCAAGGACCGAGAAGATATAAGGACACATCTTAGCACCTTGGATGAGAAAGTAAATAATCAGCAGATTAGAATCAACAATTTGTTTAATGATACCCTAAACAAATTAAGAAACACAATTATAGCAGACCGCAACACCATACAGAATCAATTGAATTATAGGGACGATGCAACGATCAATTTGTTAGCTAAGAACACATTTCTACTGCAAATATCCCTTTTGAAATCAAGAATAGAACAAATCCAGGATAACATATTCTTGGCCCATCATGGACTGCTACATACAAATATTTTGAGCGAAGAAGAAATACATCATTACAAAATCGACATTCGCGTTTTAGAAAACTTAAGAACAGGCGTATTTTCGCATAACAACAATACGCTTATATTTGCCGTTAAAATGCCAATTCAATTCCAAACTGTGCCCATTCAAATGATTGTGCCAGCCCTCAACAAGGACAATAAGGAAATACTTGCACCAATCGAAACGATTATTGTATTTGAAAACCAGACATTCGAATATATCGAAAAGCGAAATATTCTGAATGAAATGAGTTTGTCTAGACATTGCACAGTGATTGGCAAATGCGATCTGGTTTATAATACCAATACAGAAATAAAAGAGCTAACAGGCGACACTATACTGGCTAAGAATCTGAAGTCTGAGATTTTAACACAAAATTGCGAATCATCTAACGTCGTTCTCACGGGTCAATACCTAATTCATTATAATAATTGTTCGTTCGACATCTTACATCATCATTTCAACAGCCGGCATACACAGTTCCTCACCGAGTTTGTACATTTTCATCAGGACAATATAACCTTTCAGGATAAACTGACCTTTGACGATATTGTGTTCAAACAAGAAGAAAACCTCAAGGAAATTACCAATCTTCAGGTGCACGCTACCGTTAACTATTCAATTGTTGTATTACTAGCATTAGTGATAAGTGCCGTGGTTATAGTTCTAATTATCCTAAACAGAAAGCAAAATTTCACTGTAAATGTAAAAAACTAATTAAGACTCATATTGATGTTAATGTTTTTAAAATGGAAATATTTTATGGAATAAATAGAGGAAACTAAAGATTTTGATTGACATTTATATTTCAACAGAGTCCGACTAACTTTTAAAATTCATTTAACAATAAAACACCTTAATATTTTAAAACCGAAACTTTTGGAAAGAAGAATGCTTTGAACGAAGAGCCAATGTGCAAAAAATGACGATATACAAGTAAAATCAATAAGACAATGATGCTCATTGTTGTTAACTGAGTCATGCGGGAGAAAATGGTGTGTTGCCCCATAGGTGTGCCATATAAGTACTCATACTTGCAACAACAACAACAGCGACAACTTAAAAGCTGCTAATGAGCCAAGTGAGTTATGAGAGGGGGGAGGTAGAGGAGAGAGCGAGTGAGTGAGTTATCAACATGATGTTGTCATGGCCTGCTTGCCATTTTATCTGTATGGCCACGCGTGTAAATAAGCCCAGTTGGCAAAGAAATAAAGCCCGTTTATATACATGCATGTGACGTACTTGTCAGCTGCGAGAAATGTTAACGACATAAAACATGCGCGACTTGTTAGGCTAATAGCTGCGATTGTGCGCTTTCTGAATCTTAAACGAATTTGGCAAAAAAAAAAAACAGAGTTTGGGTGCAAAGTCTGGGCATCTGGCCACATAAGCAAAGCAAATATATTTGAAGGTACAGTCATATCCATTTTAGAGCAAATATTGTTAATTACGTTTATTAGTATCTATGCTAGACTGGCAATAGAATATAAGAATTAGCCATATAAGACGATTAGAGCCTTGCCGCAAAGGCAAAGCTAAGCTTAGTATTTGTTTTTGATTTACAAGTATTCAACCGTCTTATCAAAACTGATAGTGCGCAACCAATTTGTTTATTGATTAAATGTATATATGTACGTAAGCTTGAATATTGATGATAAGCAATGCGGCATAAACTCAACAAATAAATAAACTTTTATAAAAGTTCACGTTCTGCCCAAATAAGCCTGCGCCTAATAGCCGGACTTAACGGTTTACCCAACAAATTTGGCAAAAAATGCACATGAAGTTGGCCTTAAAGTTATTTATAAAGGCAAAGAGAGGCATTAAAATTCCGCAAAGGCCTTATACGAATCTCATTGCACCCTCTCTTGGCATGAAAAATGCGTTGAATAACTTCCTGAGGCCATGAGTGAATGCAGCGTGGGAGCATAAGTGAGAGAGAGAGAGAGAGAGAGCGAGAGAGCGCGCAAAAGAAGTGACCGGCGCAGGCTTTTTGTTTGCATGCGTTTTGAAGCTCTTATAATGAGTGCAGCAAAAAACAGCAGCTGTTGCAGTATGTTTATTTTGTTAGGTATGTAGATATGTGTGTATAAGAGCATGGCATGACATGTGCATGTTGTTTCTGTTGTTGCTTTTTGTTGCTATGCAGAGGCAAACACATGTTTGGCCACACAGGCAGCACACACATGCAGCTGCATACATATATTTCAAAGATACATATCTTTTGGCATGTGTTGAATTTATATTTGCGTTGTAAGTCTTCATGCCTCACAACACTTTAACACTCTGCATGCGCTGCACGTTTATCGGCCTGTTGTTGCTATGCTCTCCTTTTTAACATTTTTCATTTTTTACAAGTTCACTCACTCTGCAGTTCAATGCAATTGGAACAAGTTTGTTGCTTAAAGGGGGCTGCTGTGGCACCATCAATGCCACACATGCACTGAACTAAGTTTAAATTGGGGGAAAAAAAACACAAACACTTAGATGTACAAACATATACAAGTATGTATAATTACATTACACACACAAACACACAAAACTAACAGCCATGCTTTTTATGCTTTTGTTATATGTACATACAAGTACAAGTATTGTCGCTGTAGCAAATGTCAAGTGTGTCTATGTGTGTGTGACTTACTCATACATTGCATCCACAAGATCCCGCTCCCAGGTCATCAGACGCTTCATGTTGCCCAAGAGAAATTGCGTACAAATTTTGAAACAATTTTTTAACGCGTACAACGCGATGCAGATTTCAATGGCAATTAATAAAGAGTATTACGCGTTGTTGTATAACAAACGTTTTTACTTATTAATGTTGTTTTTGCGTTAAAGTGTGTGTTCGTTTGTATATAAAAAATAGGGGCAGCAACACGCGGCGTCGCCTTTGCGGTGGCAACTGCGAAAGCAGCAGAGCAATACAAACAACACAAACGATTGTAGATTGCCGGCTAGCACAAAAAAAAAGCTCTCTGCGGTCGCTCCTGCTTGACAACCTTGACGGCGATGCGACGATTTGACGCGACACAGCACAAAACGAATTACAATAGTTATAATGATAGAAACAATATAAAAGATTCGAACACTTTATAGTATTGTTGGTGGACTGCGGATGATGGAGTTGTCGTCACAGGCGAGATGACGTTATCGCGTGAAAGTGAGCGGAGTGGAGCGGATGTTGAGTTGTGATTTGCTGTTGTTGTTGGTTTCCAACTTAATTGCGAACTACAAACCAAAAAGTTGTGTTCTTTTTTTTTGTAATCAAAAATGCGTTCTTTTCGTTGTTGGAAAGGCAAATATGGTTTTGATTTTAAAATAAACAAAAACACGCATTATATTGACACCGATTTTTCTTGCCGTCAAAATTGTAGCGGCAATTACGAAAAATTACTGGCAAACAAAATGTGCAAACAAAAGCGCAGATTTTATTTTTCAAGCTCAATATTGTTTAAAGTCAGACTCTCGCACTCTCAAATTTGACACTGACACTGAGGAAGGTGAGCGGAACTAATTAACTAACTGTACGGGCAACACTTGCTTATTGTAGTCACTGTTATAATTGTTTCTGTTATTGTTGTGTTCAATTTAAACAGCCGTAATTAATTCGGTATCGCATTTACAACTGAGCAGGCCGTTGTCCCAAAATGCGTTTAAATACAACTAGAGGGAGAACACGATGTGAGAGCACGCGATCATCGGAACCGGTGTAGCGCTCTTCGTCTGGCTACCATAAACAGAGCCAATTAACAGTGGAGCAGCAATAACAGCGTCTGCGAGAGCCTCAAATATGAAACAGAGCAGCGCGCGCGTATTACTTTTAACGAAGACGGCTGAACTCAAACTGAAATGCTCGGTTGGCGGCTTCGCAGCCTTTTATTTTGAGTTTCAAGTGGATGGCGGCAACCTCTCAGCATGTTGCTAAACACAAATACCAATAAATTTTTGTATGCTAACAAAAGTGTAGTCGCTGTCGCCTTCGTCGTTGACACCGGCAAAGGCAAAAGAGCCAGAATGAAATACAACAGCTGATAATTTTTAGTGAACTGTTGTTGGACAAACAAAATGCACGAGCCGTGCTAAATTTTAAGTAGTGCTCACCAAGGAAAAACAAAACCAACAAAGCTCAAAATATAAAATTAGCTATAAATTTCGCTTATACTGTCAGTGTCTGCATTTAGCTTTCTACCAAAATCTTGTGACTGTGCTGTCTTTCTCCTGGCAGCAAAAGTAAGCCATGACAATAGCCATAACAGTCTTTAACTTAAGTGTTACGCTGCGTATACGTAATATGCAATATGACAATAATTGAGTGTGTAAATAAATTTATAAGCCATAATGACTGCTGTTTCATTAAATTGTTACAACACGAACAGACAACGCAAATGAAGCAAAAATAATTAAGCGCAAAATTTGCACAACTGCTTGTAAACAAGCAACGAGTTTCTCCCCCCGCTCTCCCCGCCAGCCTCTCATACTCAATCATCTTATAAAAAGCTGAACATTTTTGCCAATTAGTGCGCATATATCAACACATATATAATATATATGTATATATACTATATATGTATTAAGACAAAAGCACAGTACAAGCTACGACTATTGATAAATGTTAATAAGAAAAGACTTCTTTAAATAGATACATTTTGCGTATGGAATTGAAAGTTAAGCCTTCTATATAATTAATTTACTAATGTTTCAATTTTCAGTCACTTCAAAAATAGAAATTGCAATCAGCATTTGCTGCAATTCAAATTTTATAGCATAATTTCCTCTGATTGTTGATTTGGAATAACCAAAGCACCTGCGATTATTTGCAAATAGAAGCATTGCACACGGCCTTAATGTCCAAAAAGAGTTATGGACACTGATTTCCAGCGATAAATAGATTTATAGACAGGTCTGGAGATTGCTTGCAATCGATTGATTACATTGATTAAACAGATGATTCATTCATATCGTAAGTAATATTTGTAGTATACTCTTTGTAACTAATATCCAATGGCCGATATTGTTTTGTGAATCATTACCCATTCATTTTACTTCGAACTTATCAATTAATTACGCGTACTTTTATCACAAAACCAATTAGTATGTATGTGTAATCAAACATATTAGCCACTACAAAAATTAATTTCAATTCAAATAGCTGCTTAGCATTCAATGTACATATACTTTATTCATTCAAAATGCAATTAATTGATTGATTTCAGTAATGATCAGACAATCATTAAATATAATATTGATAAGAGAGAAGTAAATGAGCACCTTAGCTTAACATTTCAGCTCCAACTCATTCGAATTAATTCTGACTGAAAATAATTGAGTCAATATATAGCCGAGACTATCAACAGCTGACTATTTCTTAAGAACTTACTGTTAATATGGACAACTGATAAGCTTGTTTGTAATTAACATTAAAAGTTCGGATGGTTCACAATATCGATTTTGTTTAACAAAATTACTAAAGCAACAATTATAAACTACAAAACATTATAAATATATAACATTTTGTCGTCATTCAAAAGCAATATGATTATATTTCCATACTGACCATTCCAGTTTCAAAAGACTGCTTGATTAATTCATCTAATGATCCGAATCATCTTTTCTCAGAAATGTGCCCAGACAAATTTTGAAAATATATGCTTTGTCAGCTCTATAATATTGCCAAATCAGCAAGCAAGCAAATGGGACTTTACCCAAACTTGTCGGTCGCAAATACACTAACAATGGCATTGTCGGCTTACAAGTCATTATACATACTCATTTAAGAAACTCTACTATACTCAACATTTCGGTGTTTTGTTCAATCTAGCTTTTATCTTAATGTATCCATGCTGAGCATGTAGAGTCCATATTTGAATAAGGTTCTCAGTTTTAATGATATTGGGGTATTCCCTGATCATAGAAAGTTAAGTAAAGTTTGTTAAGATATTTTACCCAACAAATGGAATTGATTTCAAAATAATAATAATAACTGTAAAATGTTTTTTCTGAGGGGAAACTTTATGAAATTTGTATTTATCTCAAAAAAACAAAAAAACAAAATGTGCCAAACTTTGCCAGCATACTGCTATTAAACAACAAAAATAATCCAAAAGAGCCTTCAAGTGTAAAATATTGTTGGTATGCCGCAGATAAGGTACTTTCTTGTTGTTATTCATTTACTTAAAGCCATAAAAAGCTGTTCATTTTCGAGAAGCATGGCAATAAAAGAACGAAAGACATAATCAAGACGCAACGCACACAAGCCTTAACTTTAACAATCTCCATTGAAATCGGTAGCGCAAGCAATGGAAAATTAATCATACGCCAAGTGCGCCGACAATAACATAACGAGACTGGCTAGACTCTGCAGCAGACAAAAACAAATTTTGTAGATATCGATCGCAGATTTCTGCAGAAAGTGTGCCGACAAACAAATAGGCCAACATTACGCCATTTGGCTGATAAATTAACACCATTTAATGAAATGAATAAATCTTATTCTGCGCGCGCCACTTCTCGTCTATATTTAACATTCGATACTCTTCATTTGCATTTGGCATTTGCACGTAAGTACACGACTCGCATACACCTTGCTAGGGGACAAAAGGCCTAGACCGTTGCTGCCCTGGCAACAGCTACAACAACAACAACACCACTTGAACGACATCGACAGCGGCCTCACGACAACGACAACGACAACGACAACAAGCTATTCGAGGAAATCCCACAGAACTGGCAACAGGCCAAGGAGCTGCGCATTTGACACATTTTAAATTAACCTAGGAGCATATTTTTGGAGGGCTGTCCAAGCAATTGAGGGACAAGAGAATAGTGTAGATTATTCAAACTATATCTATCTTAATATTAAAAGAAGTTTTCTGATTTGCAACTTAAAGAACGTTTGTTCCTGACTGGTTTGTAGTTATAGTTGCGAACGACTTACTGCCTCTTAAACACTCGAACAGAACAATGGGGGTGAAGCATTTAAACTGAAACTTGTCTAAGAAACATCCTGACTAAATAGTTCAGGACTACTAGGAGGATCTATCTGGCAAAGAAAATAATCAGCAATGCAATCATCAACGTTTTTCTGTAACATTTTTAGTGTAGCATATTTTATTCGCTGTAATTTGAAGTAATTGCAATTCTTGTATGGAAAAATCAGTTAAAATGTTATAGTTTCTTAGAGTTAAATATCTATAGAATAGACTTAAAGAGTCTATGAACTTTTCTATTCTATGAACCAAACTATCATGTTTTTTCTACATGTTCTCTGTCCTTGTAACTGCAGCTGAAAGTATTAACACACTGGAAATAATATCGAACGTCTCAGATTTTGCTTCTTCTGTTTACTTTACTGCCACAGGAGGCTCAAAATGGTAAGTGGTGGTATGCCAGACTCAGCACCTTTTGAGAAACCCAGGTAGAGTATCATGGGCACGAATGCCCAGTGGAACACTGTTTGCATAGCATTTGCCGCAATGCCGAGGCGTTCCTTAACTTCATCGAATGGAACCATTGTGTGATTTCTTTATGGAATCGAAAATACACAACCACACTGCACTGCGCACAATAGCAGACACTTATAACTTGTGAACAATTTGAAAATGATGTTTATGACTATCGAGATATTCTTTTACAATCCCAACTTTTCCACAGCACACTTGAAAGCAATAAATTCAATTATTCGCACGTCATGACGGAATCAGCTGACAAAAGGCCTTAATGCGCAAGTAGCGCTGCAAAGGGAAATTTATAATGCGATCGTGTTCAAAATGCAGATACGGACTGATTTTTATACAAAAGCCTGTTGCAACACACATTTCCCCTTACTCGAAGATATGAGAAGAGCGCCACGTGGATTTATAGTTCGTTGGTAATGGTGGAATGGAAAAACATATGAAGAAATTAGAGCAAGTAATTAAGTCTGCTTTCTATTTATCTTTATTTGTTTTAAGGTTTTAAATTATTCATCCAATATGAAATAATTTCGTTTTAGTGGAAAATGCCAATGGAAAAGCCTCAAATTTTAAGTGTTTTTACTTTAAAGCGTAAAGTTTTTCTACCTTACAATAGACTTATAACATTAAAAGCTTTTTAAATCACAATACTTATTAATCTACCTTCGTATGGCGAAATTGAAATAATTGTTCAGTCAATGCACTGCTTAGAGAAAAAACACAAATAGAAAGAGAGATGAACGCAAAAACAAAACAAAACACTGTTGAAGGACACTGTGCCTTAATTTAACTTAATAATAGGAAAACGCTGCCTTTAAGCACTGCTCTTTGCTTATTCTACAAAAACAAATCATTTACGACCATTCCGTTTCAGTTAAATACAAAATGCTCAAAATCTTAATACAAAGTAGTCTCAATATTTATATCACATTGCTGTGAATTGTCTTAAACTGTAATTACTTAAATAAAAGAAGCTACTGCTAACAAAAACTTTAAGTTCACACGTGTTTGATTAATATATTCCACTTCTTTATTACATACTGGGCCTAACATTTTGTGCAGTTTACTTTTGAAAATATTCGCATTTGTGGAAATGAATGCCAGGTGCGTGTCGTTGACACCAAGAGTATCAAAAACATATGTAAGCCCAAGTGAGATAAACTAAACTAGATTATAGTTTGTAAACAGAGAGCGAGAGTGTGGGATACACACACGTATGCAGTATGTGGAATGCTCATGGCTGTGTCATGGACGTTCAACTTGGCGCCGCATTCAAAGTATTCGCAAATATTCTCGAGCATGCCTCCGAACGCTGTGTGGATGCGAGTGTTTGTGTGTGTGTGTTCTCGTATGTGTGAAGTGTGTGCCC